GACAATTTATCATGCTTTTTGTTGCTTTTATTGGTGAATTAATTTAGTCATTTTCAGAATTAAGTGCCAAGAAATAGTTATAAAAATAAACAATCAAATCTGAATTTAGTCTTTGACCTCATATGACACTCCTTCCCACATCTTTGCTGTGTGCTCTACATGACTTACAGCAAACCTTTTATGCTACTTTTTACAGTTGTCTTTCAATGACGTCTTTCTTGTTGTGACTCATCCATAACAGCCAGATTTTTAAGTACATGACCAACAGTGTCCACATATTGTCCTCAAAAATGTGTGTAGCTGTTCCAGAATCACAGTTGACATTTTCACTTATTCTGTGATTAATGCTCTCCTTCCTTAGGTTGTCATTTTAAGTGAACGACCATGCCTTGGTAGGGTTGCAGTTGTTCCATTCTCTTGTTATTTTAAGTCGATAGATTGAACAGTTTTCTGTGAGCTGTTTGGCCTGGGATATTGCTTTATAACCTGAGCTTGTTTCAGATCTTTTCACAACACTATCTCTGACTTGTCTTCTGATCTCTTCTTCAAGAAGTTGATTGTTTCCTAATGTACCCCAACAAACTTCTGAAGCCCTGAGCTGTATTAGCACAGATTAATGCACAGGTTAACCCTAATTACTATTTAGATGGCTTCTCCAGGGAACTGCTTGGACTGTAGTTTACTTGTGGACATCAGATTAAATGAGGGTAAACATAAATGCAATTTTTTTTTTTTTTTTTTGTTCTGTTTTTTTTTTTTTTGGTCTGTCACATAAAATCCTAGATGAATACATTCACAAAGTACTATAAGCATGCTAGTAAACAAAGACTCACACAAACATTTGCTCTCTATCTCTTGGTGATTATTCACTGCCGTTTCACTTTTTTGAAACAGATTCATGCCTTTGATGAATTGTTATCAGTTCTAATCAAATCACTGAAGAGGATGAACAAAGCCCTCCTTGGGTTTCCATGAGAGATGGCAAACGTTTATTTTTTTCTTATGCTGTCTTTGACATCCAGATAACGGTGAAAAGATAAAAAAAAAACAATTTCTAGTTAACTGGGTTGATGTACTACTTAGCTTTTTATTTTTCTGTTTTTGAAAAAAGGAATTTCATTTGTCTTGTGCTGCTGCTTTTCATCCAGAGTCCCTTTTGTTGTGACAATCATGTTTGAAATGTATCCTAAAAAATTGAAAACATGAGTATTTTTCTTTTGAGCTGATTCTTTTACCTTTGTCTGTTTGTGCTTTCCTTCTCAACAAATGACAAATAGACGTTGCTTAAAAGTCTTTTCAAATTGTCATAACTGATTTTCCACCTCACTTCACCCCCAGTATCGGTTGTCAAATCAGGACATTGTTACTATTTGCCTGTTTTTGAGAGTGCAGACACTCATGTAATCCTCACAGACATTTTGCTTTTGGCTTCAGTTTCTGTTTCCACTTACTTTTATCATCTGCCTCTCTGGCCACTTCATTCCTGTTATCCCAATCAACTCATTTAGGAGTAACAAAGATCATAGTCATAAGAAAGTGTGTGAAATAGTTTCTTAATTGCTCATAAAACAGGGCAAACAGCAGTTATCTTTTTAATGAGACACAAAGAAGCAGTCTGACCTCTCCGGCCGATGTGCTTCAAGCATTCATCATCCCTGTCTCGCAGGACAGAGGAGTGAGAAGCAAAGAGAGCATACCGCCCTCTATTGAGAGCAACAGCTCACTGCAGGTCAGCAAGATAGGTAGAATGAGGTTGAAAACAAATAGTCCAGGATGAAAGAAGGCATATTAGGAGAGAGAGACAGGGAGGCAGTAATGCATTGTAGACTTCAGCACTAAAGCTCTTATTGTTTGCAGCTTTGTTGTAAAGCTTGAATGCCTGTTGCAGATAATTGATTTGTCTGTAATTGCACAATAAAAGTGCAAACTACATAATTACTACAGTTACTACTCCTGAGCTCAGCATGGGGTCAAGCTATATAAAGTAGTGGAGCTTTGTATTGCTCTAAAATTCTGCTTCAGAAATACGAATCTATAAAAGGTGGTCGACTTAATGGATATAATTCAGTTCATAGCTTTTGCTGAGATATTTTTCTTTACTTTACTTTTACTTTTAACAATGTTTTTTCATGTTCTTTATATTATATCTACCTGTAGCTGGGTTAATATCCATATGCAATGCATGCATAACTGTGTAAATATGTACACACATACATAAACAATCTCATTGTGATGGATTCGTCCATTCTGCGGTTTAAGATGTGTATGCAGCCAGTTGTTGCTCGCAGCCTAAAACGTGTAATCTACCAGGAGCTTAATTGAGCACAGTGTTTTCTCACTGATCCATCAGTGTGAGATATAAATAAATAAAAATTGATTCACAAATTTGATTTGATCTAGATTTTGTATAATCCCTACTGTCAAATTTAATACACACATAAGTCTTAACATGCATCCTTAAAGTCTTCTGATAACTTGAACTTCAAGCAAGTTTTATAGCCACCAAAAAGGTTGTGAGTACAGAGCAATTTTCTTTCCAGATTTTGTAAATTTCATTGAAACTCTTCAGGGGTCTAACAGACATTAAATATTTAAAAATTTCTCTCACATTTTCTAGAGGAAGCCATTTCAAAAGCTAAATGCTTGTTTTTTTTTTTTTTCCCCTCTCTGTTTTTAACAGTTCCCAAACAGGTCTGTAGAAACACAGTTGGGAACAAATCGCTACACTCTTATCTAAACTGCCACATGAAATCAAATACGTAATCATCGCCTATGAAGTCTGGCATTAACGGGAAATAGACAGAACACCACCACTTTGTGTCTCCTTTTGAAATATTTAGAAAAAAAAAATGCCTAAAAATAATAAAGCAACAAAATGTGCTTAGGGCCACTAAATCAAATGTAAAATACAGTATGGAAGTGGAGATGGCAACACAATTGCTTTGAATTAAATATTTAGCTGTGGTAAATGATAAATGATTAATACTTATTTTAAATCTAGACAAAGTTTTCAAAACACTAACATTTGCCAATTGGCAGTAGGTGGTGGCAGTAGCATGCTGTGTGGGGGCGTTTCACCACCAATGATGTATTGAAGTCAGACTACCTCCAGTTACTTTAACTTACCTCAGATCAACTGTGAGCTCATTAAACCCGTGGATTTAATGTTTTAAAAAATATATTTAAAACTGGCATAAGAAAGTAGAGAACAGAATATTAACTGTTTGATGTTTGTTTTAAATTTCCTAGGTCAGTCCTGTTAAAAAATGTAGCGTTCTTTAAAAGATTTGTCTGTGTAAAATTTGTTGAAGAAGCTGGTTATACAACCAACCTACCCTGAAAAAATAACATCCTTCCATCCATTATCCAACATGTTTATCTCTCTAAATAATATGAAATTCATGCACACAATGTAATGTATGTAAACTTCTCTCCGGAAATATATCTGTCCTAGATCCAAGCCCCAAAAGTCAAAACACTGGTTTCCTTTTAGTGGTGATGTATGCCAACATCTTGTAGTTTTCACGGTCTGTTGAAGCCAAACATGACTGTAAACTGGTATCCTGTTGTGGGTTGTACCGTAATCCTCCCTTGAGTGCTTAGAGCTGAGATGATATACTACATTTTGAATGCACTCAAAAAACAGTAGCTTTTATTGAGATATTTGAATTTATGTCAGTATATAAACTGACTGTGAAGTGTGATGATTGCATGACCGCTCTTGAAAAAGTCTTACAATCCTAAGTATGTCCAAAATCCCACCATTTTTTCCCTCAGTTCATTCGAACCAAAACTCTTTATTTCTGTTTCTTAACACACCAGTATCACCAGTTATTTAAAGCATTTAAAGCTGAAACTGAAAAGCTTCTCTGACTGACCCAGAATTGCTGTTTCTGCCCTCCTCATCCACAGTGATTTTCACTTTCTGTAAGTGTTCTCTTCCCTATTTATTAACAGCCCATCCTGAAAAATAAATAAATAAAATGCACTTTGAAGTGAGGCTTGCATCGCAAGTGTGAACATACGGGAGAGCTGGAGAGAGACGTAAATTCAGACTTACCCAAAATATGTTTAATGAAAAGCTCGGATCTCATCTCTGTCCAAATAAACCCCTCCTCTTGCTGAGTTTGATCTCTCTCCAGGTTTGTTCTAGTTGTCCCTGAAATTGCCCAAGCACTGTTAAGGATCATAATATGGTAAAAAATAAATAAATAAAATAAAAAATACAGTTTGAATATATTTTTTTCCCCTTTGTCCAATCGGTTCAAGTTGTTGTCTTTTCTGCCTTTTTGAATGTGTGAGTGCCATTTTAAGATCCCTACGTATGAATAGTAATTTTCCATTCAGTGGGTATTGTTTGCATGCCACTGCTGGAAAAGATATGCAAGTTTTGACATTGACACCTACAGGAACGGCATTGGCTCAATCAAACAAAGCATTCAGCAAATCAAATATGGTTGCAGTATATTGTTTTGCATTCATTATTTTTTTCTCTATTGTTCGTATCTACAACGGCAAATAGAAAATGATTTTCTTGGCCCGGGTAATCTCAAGGAAAGATGTCGGATACTGTGCTGAAAAAAGATGATTTTTTGACAGCATGATGGTTTTGGATTTATTTGAGAGTGAATATCAATGACGAGATGATTATCTTTAAAACAGATTGTAGAGATCTGACTGAATTTGAGGAAACTTGCAGTTTTTATTATAATATCAGAGGATGGTATAGATCACGTCTCATGAAGTACACACTCTTTTTAGCCTTAAAAAAATTACCTCTGACAAGAACAATGTTACTCATCCTTCATCTTAATTTATTCACCTTTTTTTTCCTCCATTGTCCTCTGCTTCATTCATGTTTACAATTTTAAAGACAGTCTTCCTCCTTTTCATCTTATTCCTCTGGCCCATGACTAGTTCATGTCTTTCTTTGCTTTATTTCCTTTTCTCTTAGCTGAATTCACTCTGTGCCTGATTTCTGGTCTCCATGTCTTCCACAGAGTTGAAGCAGTGGGCTACCAGCGGGTCCTGCAGGTAGATCTGGAGGTGAACGGCTTGATGGTGACTCAGGGGAGCAGGGAGGTGACATGGCAGGTGGAATATCCACTCACCCGCACAGTGACCAGTGAGGTGCAGACCCTCATCCGTCTAGCATCGCAGGACCTAGGCGGGATTGTGCCACTGGCCATGGTAAGAAAGAAGTAGTTTGACACCCCTGGGCACACTCTATGCTCCTTTGTGGCCAATTTCAGACCACCTTCAACTTTGTTACCTGACTCTAACAAAAGCTTACCTGGGCAATGGCCCAAATTGTTGGATGGAAAAAAACAAATGTATAGATTTTTTAAAGCAAAAAAAAAAAATCCCCAAAACAAGATAAGTTTATATAATTTCAGGTAATTGATACACTAAGATATCAAATGTTGGGGTTTTAGATGATTAAAAATATGTCATAGCAGTACGTTTTATTATGTATCCTATCTGTGTGTGTGCATGTGCGTGTGTGCGTGTGTGTGTGTGTGGTGCAGTTTTAAACTTGTTTTTAAAAGTGCTCTATAAATAAATTTGACATTGACCTTTAGCCCAGCTTTATTAACCCTAAGTGTGATGTGAAAGCCGTCTTTCTTGAAGAAGACTTCTGACTTTGTTTTGTATTTATTTATCTTCTTTCATTTGTCTTTTATAAACACCTTTTACAGGTGATTAGGGACTTGGTAATGAGGCACTTTTGCCCCCAGCTCATTTTATCTGAAAACTTTGCTTTGTTAAAACTAAAACTGAACTTATTAGTAGACACAGGAACTGTGATTGCAGTTCTTTCATCACCATTCAGTCCTTCCAATACATGTTATTTTTAACACAACAGTGATGCTCGAGAATGCATTATAGAGATTGCTGATTGAGAAGTTAATTAATATTGGATTTTTATCTTATAAATGTTGATAAATTTGCAAGTAGCATCAAAAGACTAATTATGTTCCGCAAACATGATAAAACATGAAGTTTTATCAATTTCAGTTTGGTAAAAATAAAGACAAACAAGGTTTTTGTTTTCTAACTTGGATGTTTACAATGGGATCGTTTTATTGGGATTGAAATAGACCCACAGGGTCTTATGAATGCACATGCTACTAGTGTATTTGCAGCTGTAATCCATTGTGTCACCAAAAAAGAAGAGCATACATATCATCAAACAATTTTACATATCAGACAAAAGTAATCTTAGTAAACAACAACAGTTTTGAAATGATGATTTAATTTCTGAAGAGAAACATCTGTCCAGGGATTTATTCATCATAGTCTTAAAACTCAGCAATCCACTGCTCGCAGAGTTAATTCTGCACGCATGAGAGCTAAAAGAAAATGGCATTTTGAGTACAAGTAAAAGGCAGATAACTCAGCATGTCAACAGATGTGTTTTGTAAGGCAACGTTAGAAACAATGTCAGGAAACTATTTTATGTTAGGGACCAGATTTTTATCTTTACCTTTTGTGCTAAGATAAACGACATCAATACCTAGTGTTTCATTATTCATCAAGTGCACTATACCACTAAAGGGCAAAAGTGCTTTCACAGTAACTCCTGCTTTTTAAGACTAAAGCAATCACTACAAGAAAGCTAAGTCGAATTCACATAAACAATTTGATTAGTTCAGATTTAACATCAGCATTCAACTTTGTAGGCACATCTTTCATTCCTGGTACTCTGCAGTACTTGTCTAACTGCAGAGTAACAGTCAAATACTGGTACTAGTAGAAACACATGCCTCATGTAGGCATGTGTTTCTTCCACATGACTACATGTGGTAGAAACCTGTGTTTAATATAAGTTTCATCTCCCTGTGATCACTTCTGACCTGTACTCCCATGGAGGGGTGTACGCATCCACACTATAACTATAGCTGCCTGCTAAATGTGAAATCCAGAATCTGCAGTATTCTTCTTTGTTGTTTAAGTTTGACAGCCCTAAAAATTGCACTCTGAGAAAAGTGTGACAACTGTGTTAATGGCACCACAAGGGAAAGTGCAAGAATGATCACAAAGACAGAATAAAACAAACAAAAAAAAAAAAAGTAAAGCACTTCAGAGAAGAAGGCAATCTTCAGTTTGGCATGTTTATAAAGTTTTTGTCTGAAATTTTCTACTGCAGGGCAATTTCTAGGTTTGAGTCTCGGTTTGTTTTGATTGGAATCATTCTTTAAAATGAACGCTTATAATTCCCTACTCAAATCTAGATGTTTAGCATAAAAACAGTATCTAAATCTATCCATTTTCTACAAGTTTGATAGTGTGAAGTATTTTTTGTGTCTATTTTGGTTCTAAACTTAGTGCTTTTAAACTCAGAAACATTATTACAATTGGTGATGTTTCCACCACAAACATTGTTTATTTTTGGAGATTTAATCTAACAAATCAACACCAGGTGGCAAAAATGTCTAAACATAAAAATGAGTGAACTACAACCACAGATGATACGTTCTGGTTGATTTGCTATGTGTGTTTTCAGCGACATATTTGGTTTTATCTACGGAACGCAAATTAGGTGAGGCCCCATCTGTGCAGAACACCTTCCAGATGTTTGCTGTGTCCATTGCATGTCTTGTGGCAAACTGCAAAACAAATGTCTTATGGGTTTCTTTCTTCTTGCCACCATTCCATAATGTATACTGGAGAAAGGGAAAAGAAATTCCACTGAGGGGGCTCATCTGAGTCAACTACCTAAGGCTCATGGTAGAGTGGGGACCCAGAACCACGCTTTGAAGCTATTGATTTGAGCAATAGCTTCAAATCGGTCAGAAACAACCAGTCAGAGCTTGGAGGCCGGTCTTTGCACTGTCAATCATCCTTGTGTATACACTCCTCACACCCTTCCCCTTGATCTTTGCTATGCTGCAACTCGTTCCCTGCAGTGAATGCCCAGGCTAGAAAACGTGTCCACCTGTGATGGCAGAAAAACATCTTCCTTAAAAAGGTGAAGTGACTGGCCTGGCCCCTGACAGCGCCAAGACCTTCCTCCTTGACCTGATTGGTTATTTCTGGCCAAGTGGTGTGTTTTTCAGATGGCTTTAGGGCCACAGGAACAAGCCAGAAGAGCTTGATTTTTCTCCCAGATTATATGGCTCATTTTCTACTACCACAACATAATTAATGACTGTTTTAAGAAATGTGCAAAAATTATATAAGCTACATAATGCAACTTTAAGTAATAATTTGTTAATATGTCATTTTTGAAAGAACACAAGATCATAGTCCTGGTGTTTACCAGAAAATCAATCTTGCCATACATGAATTTACTTCAGAATTATCTGAAGACATTTTGATTTGTTTCATTCATTCATTCATTCATTCATTCATTCATTCATTCATTCATTCATTTTATTTTGGTAAACTGTCCACATCACCAGAAACAACAAAGAAATAACAATAAACAATAAGTAACCATTTGTTTTGTTTGTGTTTCAAAAACGCTCACATTTCATTCAACTCTATCCATAATTACATGCATGCACGTACTCACCAACTCCTACGGGAAATTTAGTGAGACAAATTCACCTAATAGTTGTGTTTGGGGACTGTTTAGTGATGAAGCTGGAATACCTGGAGTGAGCCAAAAATGCAAAAAAAAAAATAAAATGAAATAAAATAAAATAGCAAACTCAGTGCTGCACTGTATGAAAGTCCAGATAAATGACCATATTGATACAAGGTCTTTGAACTCACCTTTAAAATGTCTGCTCTGTATCATAACAACAAATAATGGTTTGGTTTTTTTTTTAAAGAAAAATGTGTTTCCTTTGACATCTAAAAGAGAAGGAAATAAAACTGCAATACTAAAATACATCAATTCCAACCTGAATTTAAAACAGCAGATGGGGAGAGAAACCATGAAAGCTTTTCATTTACTATCTTAAAAGACAGTGGGAAGACCTGCCAGCAGAGTGTGTGCCACTTTTTACCGCATCCTCCCATGAATTTTTGATCCCCCTCTTGCCACGCTGTGTCTCTCTGTTCTCTCATTAGAAGAGACAGCCAGTGTGGCCCCCATAGCTCTTTACAGTACATCATTAGCATTTTATTCATAGTTTCTGAAACTAATTCTATTTCAAACCTTATATCGTTAGCCTTGTGCTCACTGTCCCTCAGTATTATAATGAAGGACATTAACACAAAGCTCTGCATTAACTTTTCTGTGATCATATGTAAGCACGTTCTTCTAGAGTTATTTTATGTAGGCCAAATTGAGCTGCTTTTTTCGTTTCTTTCTGCATACAGGCGGCTGGGAGATGGCAGTATGCAGAGGAAACTAGGACTTAGAATTAATAAACCGCTGTGTTCTTATTGTTTGGAGAAGAAATGTAAAGAAAAATGAACCTCATATGTTCAATTTACACAGGTAGCTATAAGTCTGTTTTATTCTTTACTCTTAAAATATTTACCATAAACACTAACATGAGCCTTTTGTCCACATTAAGTTCAAGCTGAGTTGCAGCAACAGTAAAATCAAAGCTCAGGAGATGAAATACTGTGCAGATGTGACTATTACATGGAAACCAGGTGAGTACCAATCAGCAAAATAATGACAGCTGATTTGGGAGCAAGGGTAAGAATCTGAGAATATTAGACTAAACATTATCACAAAAACATGGAACAATTACAGTCATTAAATAACTATGATTAACCACTTATTTTTGGTTGAATTATATTAGTCACATGAAGACTTCACTCCTGGCAGAACTGAGAAATCAAGGTTGTGAAGGCCAGGCAATAACTTTAGACCGAATGCAAAGCAAGACTTTTATGGCGTTGTGACATAGACTACACTCATGAGAGCATTTTCAAGAGGACTGCTGAAATCATCCTATTATAGTTGTTGCTGTAAAAGCAGAAAAAAGCCAGAAAAAAAACAAAACTCTGAAGGGCACACACATCCAGCTAAATATTAGTTAACTTAGCATTAACTGTAAGCGTAGTGAGTGGAGGCGACAAGTGGAGGCGGGGGACTGTTTTTCTGTCTGTATAAACATCCATATGTTTGTAGTGGGAAATGTTTCTCTCATGTTTTCATCCCTCATGTCTTTTTATGCTCTGCATATACTGTGTCGAACCAGTAAAAATTGTCACTGGTGCACCCTTGAGTTTCACACTAAGTTGCAACAAAAAGTTGCATCCGTGTTCTTCACTCATCTTTT